TGAGACTGATAACCTATGTCTATTTCACAAGAACCAACTCTGGAGAACACTGCTTCAGTGCCAGCTACTACAACTAACAATACTCACAACATGGTCACACGGTCCAAAAACAACATTTATAAACATAAGCAACCTACAGATGGATCTATTTGTTACCCATACCTCGGGTGCTAGTGGCAACAACCGATTATTTAGTCACTGAACCTTCTTGCTACTCGGAGGTTGCCAAACATGAACGTTGGCAAAAGGCTATGAATCAGGAATTTGATGCACTATTGACAAATCGGACATCGAAACTTGTACCTCCCAAATAAAAGCAAAATATTGTTGGTTGTAGATGGATTTTTAAGATCAAAAGACGTGCAAATGGCTTAATTGAACGATACAAAGCAAGGTTGGTCGCTAAGGGATATCACCAACAATGTGGCATAGACTTTTATGAGACCTTTAGTCCTGTGGTGAAACATTCTACAGTTCGTCTTGTATTGACTATCGCTATCGCTCGTGGTTGGATCTTGTGCTAGATTGATGTACAAAATGTATTTTTACATGGTCAACTTCAAGAGGAAGTATTTATGACACAACCTCCAGGTTTTCATCATCCTCAATTTCCAGATTATGCGTGCAAATTTCAAAAGTCCCTATACGGACTGCGACAAGCTCCTTGACAATGGTTTGCAAAATTAACTGAAACATTGCAGCAGCTTGGCTTCACTGGCTATAAGGCAGACACTTCATTATATTTTTATCAAGACACTACAAGCATCATATACATCCTCATCTATGTTGATGATATCATTATCACGGGATCCAATGCTTTTGCTGTGAATAGTCTAATATCTCGCTTTTATCAGAAACTTGCAGTTAAAGATCTTGGCACTTTGTCATATTTTCTTGGAGTTGAAGCACTTTATTCTCTTGAAAGTATTTATCTCACTCAAAGAAAATACATTGTCGAACTCCTGAAACCCAGTAATATGGATTGTGCTAAACCTTACCTTACACCACTCTCTACAACCACTAGTGTATCCTCCAATGATAAGATCCTTCCTTGTACCGCAGTATTGTTGGAGGATTACAATATCTGTCCTTTACTCGACCTGACATCGCCTATGCTGCTAATCGTGTTAGCAAGTCATGCATTGCCCTGAAATCTCACATTGGCAGACAGTAAAATGTATTTTGCATTTTCTAAAGCAAACAGTCTCTCATGCCTTGCTATTGTCTTGTTCCTCTGACCTTTAGTTTCAAGCACTCTCAGATGCAGATTGGGCCGGTGATAAAGATGATCGTCGTTCCGTAGGTGCTTGTTGCATCTTTTTTGGAAATAACTTGATCTCTTAGCAATGTAAACAACAATCTATTGTGGCTCGTAGCAGCACAGAAGCTGAATACAAAGCATCATCCAATAAAATTGCTGAATTACTTGCTTCTATCACTCACAAAGGAACTTGGTCTTTCCATGTCACAACCACCTATAATTTGGTGTGATAATATTGGAGCTACGTACCTCAACGTCAATTCAGTCTTTCATGCTTGAACTAAGCATATTGAGATCGATTTCCATTTCATATGCGATCTGGTTACAAGAAAGCATCTGATTGTGAAGTTTACCTCCAGTCATGATCAACTAGCTGACATTTTAACAAAACCACTATCAATTACACATTTCATAGCTCTTTCAGACAATCCCAATCTTCATAGCCTACCCTTGAGATTGCGAGGGCATGTTGAAGAACAAGTATTGTGCAAATCTCAACCACCTGATGTGTAGAAGAATTTGTTATCTAATATGTTATGTAAATTCAAATTCAAATGTCATGCGTAGATTAGAGTTATCATGTTATCTTTTGTTACACTATAAATACACAAGTACATAGTTCAGTTTACATACAACAAAAATTATATATATATATAGACTTGAGTCCATAGGACCATCGGTGGATCCACAATTCTCGTTAAAGAATCAAGAGATGTCCGAGATCTGATTGATTTTCGATTTTGAAGGAGTTGTTTGGATGTAAAAGATAAGTTTTTTGTGACTTTATCTTTGTAATTTGTGCATTGTTGTATCCTTTGTCGCTATTTTGAGATGTTATGGTGCAATAGAGCATTATCTATTTATATGTAAATGTTGGAAGTGATCACCATTCCTTTGGCAAAAAAATCTCATTGTTCAACTTTTGATTCTTTCACAATTTACTACGACATCTTTTAAGTTTTGGAGTTTAATTATATTTTCATTTGTTTCTGGACATTTCATTTAGTATTCAATAAAAAAATACACTTGCTACTTCTTTCGAGAGTTTTACAATTTTTATTACTAGGTGCCTTTATTGGTCAACAATGATAAACAAAAAAATAAATTATTTTCAATAAGCCACGTACATTACAGTCTTGCAATGACACTACATAATTATAAGAATTATTTCTAACAACGCATTAATATGGGTATTATAAGAAATCGAGAAATAATTATAAGCTATGCAATCTATATAGAAATCTTGTAGGTTAAAGCGTTTATATATGTGCAAATTTACATAAAGATATAGTAAATTTCGACGTATGATTAAGATTAGTGTTAATCGAGAGAGACCACTAGTAATAATAGGTTAATTCGATTGTTGACACATAACATGGCGGAATGAATTGGAATTAGATGAACATTAAAACGACCTAAGTGAAATCGTAAATTCTAACAAACTTATCTCATAATCTTCTCAATAATATTTAAATAAATCACCTTAGTTACTTTAGTTAGAAATTTACTTATGAAACATATCTGGAATTGATAATTGGTTACTCATTTGATTTGGATTGAAGGGTGTGTTTCATTACATTTATTTTTCTATGGAAAATATCGATTTTCCATCCAAATTCCTACTTGGGAAGTTTCATTGTTATTTTTTCCATGAAAAATATTTTTCAACTTTTGAAAATATGTCTAATTTTCCTTTTTTTAAGGAAAATATTTTCCTTGGGTGGAGATGATTTTTGTTTTCCTCAAAAAAAGGAAAATACTTTTTTTCTAGGTAATATTTTCCATGTCGATCAAACACACTCAAAGCTATTTTAGTTTAAAACTTTAAAGTAAATACTATCTTTGCGGGACGATATTTTGACTTAAAGATTATTTTATCACTTGAACGATTTGTACACTTGCTAAATTTATCGAACAGTTCTCATGAATTTAAAATTTTAAAAGACATATGAAAAGTTCAAAATTTATTCAAATTAATATTCACAAACTCTTCGTTTAGGTTTAGTTAGGATTAGTTACAGAGTCCAATTTTTAATTGTCAAACGATTAGAAGCTATTTTAGTTGTTTAATAAATTTAAAAAATGTATCCATTTTATAAAATGACATTAAAGCTTATAAATACTTGACTTTTTGTTAGCTTTAATATTTAATTCCTGATGAGTAGAGATATCTTGCCATGTTTGTGTTAAACACGCAGCACGGTCTGGTTTGTATAACAAAGGTATCAATCAATCTTGTATGTTTCAAGGAAATTTCTCAATTCTTGTCTGTATATAAAATTTTGAGAAATTTGATAAGTGATCGTCAATGAGAAGGATATTCTTATCGTTTATAAAAGTGAGAAAGTACAATAATTTGTTTTCAATTAAGACAATTAGCCTGTTTGATAAAAATTAAAATTAATTTTTTTAATAAAATCAAAGCCAAAA